TTGAAGACATCAGGTGGTGCAGTGGGGTAGGCCTTGTGTGCCATACTTTCCAAATCCTGTGCCAGCTCTTGCAGTCTCTCCACTTTAGCACGGACTCTCGTCCTAAACCTAGCCCTGTAGACTTTGGACTGATTTTGGGTTCCATACCTGATTTCTAGAGCAGCCACCAGTGCTCCATAGTTGTGCCTGTCGTCTGCTGACAATTGTCCAAGTATTTCCAGTGGTTGTCCCTTCAAGCTCATTACCAGGTACACTGCCTTCTTCTCCTCTGTCCATCCATTCATTTCTGCCAGGCGCTGAAATTGTGCTCTATATGCTTCCCATTGTGCCTTCCCATCGAATTCCTGTGGCTTCCTTCTTACTAGATCACCTCTCTTGCTGACACTCATGTCTGGAATGTGACTTCTGACAAGACTGAAGATGTCTGCATTATGGTTTAGCTGCAGGGCCTAGAAGGGGCTTCCCATTGTCTAGGGCTGATTAGGCCCATGGCTAATATATCCTCCTTGTGTAAAAGACAATAAATCGTCCTTTAATGTATTTAATTCACTTTGAAATTTACTCATCTTTTCCATTTGTGTGTGCTGGCTTTCTCTCAACTGTTGGAGTCTTTCTTCCTGTTTCTCTTCTTGTTCCAGTTGTCACTGGTGCTGGTTTTCCTACCACTGCTGTTGTCTCTCTTCTTGTTTCTTTTTTCGTTTTTTTTTGTTTCTTTTCTTTTTCCTCCAATAACTGCTGTAATCTCTCTTCTTGTTTCTTTTTCCCTCCAACCACTGCTGTAGTTTCTCTTCTTGTTTCTTTTCTCGTTCTTCTTGTTTCTTTTCTTTTTCCTCCAAAACTGCTGTAATCTCTCTTCTTGTTTACTTTGCTGTTCGAGCTGCCACTGTTGTAGGTTTTCTTGCAACTGCTGTTGCCTCTCTTCTTGTTTCGTTTGTTGTTTATTTTCTCGTTCTTCTTGTTACTTTTGCTGTTCTTGTATTACTGCCATCAAATCTGCTAAGCTGTTGTTTGATTTACCACCTCTGGTTTCCATCTTCTTCTTTTTTTTTCTCTTACCCGTCCCACTCTCTGACACCAATTTGATGCGTATCTGCTTGTTTGTTAATTTCCCGTAGAAATTCTTTCAGAGAAACTTCAGCGATACAAGTCCTTTCTTAATTAAAACTAGTTTATTCATTCTCGATACAACTTTGCAATACACAGAATTTCCGCCGTCACTTGACTACTTTTATGAACACATGCTATAAATCACATGCTTGACTCAATTATCACTCTCTATATCTATCTATCTATTCCATTCTGCTTTATTTGCCGGGCTTATATACTAAAAAAGAGGGCGTCTGGAACAGACTAGAGTTGCCAGGACAATTCAAGATCCTTCGAGAATCTCATGACGTGTTACCAGCGTCACGTGACTTCCGCTGTCTTAACAATATATATATACTGTTGTGGATACAATTCCCTTCTTTAGGTACCACTAAATGAACATTAAATCCGTAAACGAAAACTGTTCAGTTAGTGGTACCTGAAGAATGGTATTGTATCCAAAACAGTATATATATATATATATATACTAAAATATCTGTAGTTAACTCCTTGGTGGTTTCACCTACAACATACATCTTTTTATCTCTTTCAACAACCACTACGTAATTTCCTACACAGTTTTTTACAAAAGATATGGATAAGACCTTTATTATTTCTAAAAATAAAGATGATGTGTATGAACTTAAGGCAGTGAATTTATCTATTTAATTATGTCAACCTTTATGTGGGATAGTTAATCTTTATTTAACCAAGGAATAGCCCTGTGTTTTCATGTGACACAACAATGAAATTGTCCAAAACATACAGCATTACAGTACTGAACTTTATACAAATATTTATTCATTGTTCAAATTGTTTGTGTATCATACTGACAAGAAATGTGACCTAAACTCAAAAATCTGCCCAAACTATTTTTATAGCAGCAGTGATAAAATATGACATCATACATCACTTTGCATCAACAGTGAAGTAAGTTTATTCTCTACAAAATCCCATCCTAGGATGTAGTGAACACACTTTGTGATCTTTCTCTACAACATGTACATTACAAGCAGTGTTCTACAACATTAACTGCTTACCTGTCTTTTCCTCGTGCTCTGCACTTAGTGAGCCTTCTCCCGGTCCGATATCTCGTGTCAGTGCTAACTGTACTTTATCCAAGAAGGTCCCAAGTACTTCCATACTGGGAGATACGATAAAGTTGATGAATCCTGTTCGTTAACATTAAATCAAGGGATTTTAGCACAATATGCTGGTTTAGTTCTTATGTAATTAAAAAATACTGTATATGAAGGTGTAACATTACAGATTTCAGAATCTGATTACCAAACTGTTGTTGTTAATAATTTTGTGTACACTGTTGTTAAGTACTTTAAACTCCAAACACACTTCATTAAACTAGTAATCAATTTTTTTACCTGGTATTAAAAGGATAAATATATTTTCAGTAACAGTGTTGTAGAGCTAAAGAGGTTTCATTTTCGGTAAATAGTTAAACTACGAAAGTTCTTAAATATTATTTCAGTGTTATCTTAGTATGTGGGTAGTTTTAGATAAGTTAACAGATTTAATAGCCTTTTTATCACCACGTAATAAGTTTTTAAATTTAACCAAATGCTTCAACAAGCCATCATCAGGTGGGAAACTATGTCTAAAAATAAAATAATATTGTGAGCAGCACTTAAAAGTTAGTGATAAAAAAGAAACATTTGAAATCAAATAAAAGAGTTTCAAGACGTTTGTGCATCCCTTTCAGTTTCACATTATCTTCTGGCGGGAAGACTGGTCAACAATACCTATATAGCTTCAAAACTTACAGGTGGTCAGAGACTTGTTTATTTATAAAATTGTGTTCTCAAATAGAGAATCTTAATTTAATTTGAAATGATATTTACCGACTATCAGCATGGTCACAATGTTGTTTAACTTGAAGTGACCTTGTGGGTGACCTTGAAATTAGTAGGCTTTTGTTTAAGCAACTTTCAATATTCTTCTTTTTATGTAGTTATTCATTTTGTATAAAATTCTTGTTGATTTGCAATTGAATTGATGGATGAAATCTAAATCTCTCATATGAAGAAAAAATGGCATTGTTTGTGTTTTCATATTTATTGATTATTCGTATGTTCAGAAGCTCTAATGTCATTTTTTTTTTCCACTTTCACCTATAAAACATTTTTTCACAGAATTGGCATGGTAATGAAATAAATGCCTTGTGTTTTATCTTTAGGTGTGGTTTGTATGTAGTTCTAAAGTATTCATCTTTAACATTTTCTCAAGGGGCTCATGTTTTTTGTTGTAGCAAATATAAAGTGGTAACATAATGTAGTACCTAATTAAAACACTCAAAAGAGTGTGAAATCAAAATCAGTGCAAATAAAACACACACACACACATATATATATATATATACAAAAAAAAAAATTGGTCATTGACTACTTAGTTTACATAATATATTTAAATACTGGTTTCATTGTCAAAATACATAGAGTGCCTACTTTGACAGTGCTGGTGGTCTCAAAATAAAATTCTTAATTGTATACTTAAAAAATGTTGATTTATTTTGAGTGTCTGAATAATATTTACACGAGTACCTTGAATTTTAACCTTTTAGTGTTAGTAGTACCCGTTTTGATACTACTAAAATTAAACTGCTAAAAACTAAAATGATAATAAAAATACAGTTTGGTAACACCAAGGATCTGGTACCATCAGAATGGTTGAACGGATCAGGCTAGTATACGTGGATCTTAATTCTTCCCTTACCAATCTGAGATTCAGCAACTGGGGTTGTGTTTCTATCACATAGTGGCGAAAAGGGAAGACCTAGTTCTTTCTCTTTGTCGCCCTGTAAGAAAATTAACACTAAAAAAACTAAAACTAATAATCAGAATAAGCAATTGAAAAATGATTTGAAATACAAAAGGTAAATAAAAAAAATCAGTTGTTCTCAGTGTGACATAATTAAAGAGTAAGATGAAAATGTGGCATGTTTTTCATATAAAGAACAATAGTACTACAAAAAAAGTACTTTGTAAATACCTCAGTCAACATTTCTATAACTAATACTTCACCATCAAATATCTTATAACAAACACAATCAAAATTGTTTGCCTTAATAACAGGTCTCCATCCTTGAATTTGTAAAGATCTCAGTCGCCATCTTTAGTGTTAATACTGAAATTAACCACTGGGTCTAGAGATCCCATTGGCTTTTTAAAAATATTTTCTAAAATATTCATGCATTAAATTATTTATGAGTTCACGACTTTATCTGCAGAACTCTTAATAACATACGAGTTGTACAAAACAAATCTAAATAACAATACTATCAATATTTCAGCTATTATAATGGTTCTATATGTAAACAAAAATACTATCAATATTCCAGCTATTATAATGGTTCTATATGTAAACAAAAATACTATCAATATTCGAGCTATTATAATGGTTCTATATGTAAACAACAATACTATCAATATTCGAGCTATTATAATGGTTCTATATGTAAACAAAAATACTATCAATATTCCAGCTATTATAATGGTTCTATATGTAAACAACAATGCTATCAATATTCCAGCTATTATAATGGTTCTATATGTAAACAACACTACTATCAATATTCCAGCTATTATAATGGTTCTTTATGTAAACAACAATGCTATCAATATTCCAGCTATTATAATGGTTCTACATGCAAACAACAATACTATCAATATTCCAGCTATTATAATGGTTCTGTATGTAAACAACAATACTATCAATATTCCAGCTACTAACCAATGGTTCTACATGCAAACAACAATACTATCAATATTCCAGCTATTATAATGGTTCTATATGTATACAACAATACTATCAATATTCCAGCTACTAACCAATGGTTCTATATGCATTTTACATTGAAAGTGTGTGGTTTATCAATTTTGTGGTCAATTCTTTATACTAGGTATTTTAAAATTAAAAACATAAAATAAATCAATTTGATCCAATACGTGGACCCCGCCAGCACTTAACAGTTTAAAAACAAGCTGATCATTTCGTGGTTAATAACAGTGCTTCATTTCAACCTTTTAATAATGACCACTAACAGTGAAAATAAGGCACTAAAAGTGAAAACCGAAACCAAGAAAAGTTGTTTGTTTGTTTGTTGAATTTTGCACATAACTACTTGAGGGCTATCTGCACTGACCCAAAATAATATTTCTATGCTTTACTACAGTGAATATGGCTTTAAACACTGACGTTTCCTAATTACAAAACATCTTTAACAATTACATTTTATTAGATTTAATTTTCGCTATTTAAATTTAAGGTATTTCACAAACTCTACACTAAAACACGTTTGATTAAATAGTCTGCGATAATTTAAAAAAGGTGAACTACAAACACTAAGTCTTGTTCATCTGATTATTAATTAAGTGATTGTCATGAAGAAGACTTTATTTAGAAAAATAATAAATATCGATTTCTCTAAGTTCATATACAATGAATCTTATAAGTTATATGTAGACTATCAATGAATAGTTTCTACCTACCTGCTGAAAAAATTCCTCCAAGAGAAGTTTCGTCCAGTGGTAATGCACCCTCCATTCTTTACTGGGGTGGCTGATATCACAGCAGTGAAGGACTAAAGCCATACCCTTCGCCTTGTCTACGCTGAAAGCAAAACATACCACTTCACATACCTTTCGCCTTGTCTATATTGCAACCAGAACATACCACTTCAGGTTCAACTCTCTAACATGTGCTCTAAGGCTGAAATCATTTCAACATGGTCAATGAAGGTTTTTAATCGGAAACACAATTCAAATTTTCACTTCAACAGTTCAAGTACATCATACATAAAGAACCGACACGATAACATCTAAACTGGAACTGAATTTTTGAACATGGCGATTAATTTTAACACTGTAAGCCTAATTTACTGCTCTTCCGCTCAGTTTCATTAACAGAAGGTCAAGCTAACATCAAATGGTTTCTACTACAGGTTATACGTCATGGTTCTTTATGTAGTGGCTCATAACTTGTATTAACAGAGTAAGTTCGTTTGTATGGTTCCTATTACTGGTTACGGGAGGCGTTTTTTTTTATGTAGCGTTACGACAGCGGAAGTCACGTGACCCTGGTGACACGTCATGAATTTCTAGAATGATCATGAATGATTGGGGAGGCCCGAGTGTATTCGAGACGCCCCATTCTTTAGTATAAAAGCCTGGCAGAGTTCCGGGTAATTTACCGTTCTGTTTCGAGCTAGTGTGTGAAGTTATCGCAATTGTAAATCGCTGTGATTTATAGCGTGTATTATAAAAGTAGTTAAGTTTAAAGTGACGAGAAACGTATTGATTGTGAAATTACTGTGTGCTAAAAGTTTGTATCGAGGAAGAATAAACTGGTTTAATCAAGAAGGGACTTGTATCGCTGAAGTTCCTCAAAACGAATTTATACCGGAAATTATCAAACAAGCAGATATGTAACAAAAGTTTCTACTTTGTACTAAAGATAGCAGTTCTTTGTGCACTCGCTAATGCTAGTAAGAGTTAAAGATAGCGGATATGCAACTTACCTAAACTCTTGATGAGCTAGAAGCTTTTTCATGATTTTGAGATGATTAAAATGTGAAGTCATGTCTGTTCCCAGGACCATCTCTATAACCAAGCTTCGAAAATCCCTGAAATTAAACCAAAACCATGTGAAAGTACTTCTAAAATACCACAAGTCTCCAGTTGGTGTTATTATTACATACAGCGAGAAAGCAAGCAAGCAGGTAGGTAGGGGCGTTCACATTTATTTTTATTCCAAGTAAAATTTTTCAATAACAATAGTTAACGCAAAGATAAAAAAATATTCACTAACACTTGCTAAGATGTGGAAAAACTTCATCAGTTTATTACACCAACACAACACCCTGGAACATACCGTCCTCGTTATCCGGAGGTGATATTCAGAGTTTTCTTCAAAAGATTGTTCGAAACTTCACTAAAATACGGGCC